AATTTGCTCTAACAGGAATAAAATTCCTTCCTTGACCGCAAGTGACAACTGGATTAATCCCTGGATCAACAATGTACTATGTATTTTTCAAATTGTAACTAATCAATTTTTTAAACAATCTACTTTACCTGCTAAAACCAATTCCTGCGGATGACTATTCAACTGCACTTACAGTAATAGGCTTTTTTTTATTTCCAGTTGCATGGGGTGCCCTTGGTTTTTCTTTTTTTTTTCTTTTTTCACAGCGGTAAAGTGAACAGATGTCCATTAAGTTTATTATATGGTCCTCTTTTCAAGGGTATATAAATTCAGTAAAATTAGTCTTTCCCTGTAACTGCACTTCTGTATGCGTCTTACTAATTTAGTTGCCTTTGTGTGCACTTCCTTTCAGTTCTAGGACAACCTTTTATTGAAGCAAAACTGAACTGTATATTGAAGATGAGGACATGTTAATGCTTTGTTTATTGGTAAACGTATGAGTATTCTGTAAACACAGAAACGGTTTTAGCCTCAAACCCACATCATTTATAAACACGTTAAAGAATAATGGTATCAAAACTGAACTTATAGGTTTAGTCCATTCAGAGTATGAATGATTAATCACAACTCTCGAGACGTGGTCTTTAAGCCAGATTTTTTATCTAATTACATATTATAGTGTACATTACAAGCTAACCATGTGAAACTTGTACAAAATTTTAAATATACAACATCCACAGAAATTATTTAGCTTAGTTTTTTGAGGTATCATTTTTACAGTACATGTCCTTAAAGAAAACCAGAGCTTTGCCTAGGCAAGATAAAATCAGATTTGCGTTAATGCTTCCCTCCCTAGCAGCACTTACTCATCTACATTTCATTGCTCCCTCACTACTCCCCATCTTCAGTGGTGAACATATCTGGTACTTTCCTTCCTCTTATGTTACAATGCTTGTGCTTGATTATTGGCTCAGTGCTGTCACATAAGAGTGGGGAGACAGGACTCTATTGCTGAATAGGGCAGAGCTGCTACATGTTTAAAAGATATTTCTCAGTACTGGCACTGGAGCATGACAAAGAGGCTGTGTTCACCTGCCTCAAGAAAACACATAAACAGGATATGGCAGACTTACAAGAAGGCCTGGAGGGCCTTCACCAATGCCTTGAAGACAATGAATCTACCTAATCTGCAGTATCAAGATGGTCAACTGTCTCCAGGACATGTGGCAAGCAAAATAGCCCTATATCCAAGGCCTCTGGGCCCAGATGAATGATCTTAAAGACTGGCACCACTGGAATACTGTCTGGCTAAAGGGCATTTTAGCGGCCACAGAGACATCGTCATTGGAATTTTCAATACCCTATTAGGTCGGGAAGCCATGGAACAGATTAAACTCTACAGGAAGTTTCTGCAATTACCAAGCCCTGCGACATGCTCTGCCAAGTACATTTGTACATTGAAGAAATACTGGCGAAGGCAAGGGAGAAGGGGACCCTGGAATTTAAAGATGCTTATGTGATGTTTTACCCAGATGTATCCCACCGGACCCCAGCCTGATGCCGATCTCTCTGCCCATTGACAAAGTATTTTTAGACTTTGTTGTGACCCATGTAACTGTATTAGGAATCTGACCACTTCCTGGAAGTGTCAATTCCTGTCAGTGCAGTCCCTTTTTCCATGTAGGAAGACAGCAGGAGCCTGCGCACCTACCTGTTAGCAAACATTAGGATTATAGGCAAGAGCAGCAATTTATTATCTGTGTACCCATAAAGTAAAATAATCAAAAGTATCAGCTGGAGCAGAGGACAACAATGTAAACCAACCAGGAATAGATAGTAATATGTACAGAGTGGAGGAGATGTCAATGTGTGCAGGAGATGTCATAGTGCTGGCATTATTCAGTATTCTACTGTGTGTGAACTCCTACTATCAGCCTCTCTGCCCTGTCAGCAAATAGAGGCTGTTCAGTGAATCTCAAACATAAATAAATAATATCAGGGAATACTACAGAGTGCCATTTGAGTGACAGCTCTGGCAGCCCGCCTGGGGCTGCTTATATCACATGCAAGATGGCGGCGCTCAGCAGCTGTCTCAGGTCTGTTCCATATAATATCAAGAACAGACTTACACTGGAGACTATATTAGTATATTATATAAATATTAGTTATCTGCTGGGCATTTATGGCTATATAGCCTCAGTTTGATTTTTTTTTTTAAATCTAGTCCAACACACATACACATTAAACATTTACAAGAGACTATGGATTCCCGGAGGAATAAACGTTGATGGTATTGTAATACTAGGATTACCTCCATATGCATAGTACACATAATGCACCTGGTTGTTTACACGTGGTATAGGCAGTTGCCTGTATTTTGGGAATTTATGGATGGACATTAAATGTGAGCAATTTACAGCAAAGTACCAATTTGAGAATATTGGTTATACAGGTTCTTGGTATAAAGACATCATACTATATTTTATTATTCCCAACATGCCCAGCATCCTTTATTTTAAATGATTTTAAATGTCTGTTATCTTGTCTCTGCTGATAACTATGAGAGTAATGTTTAGATTGTTTCTATATAGGATGTCGAAGAATGTTTTGCCTAGATGCAGATATCTCAATTTAAGGACCATTATTATTATTAATGAACCTTATCGTCAATAATCATAGGGAATTTTAATGAACAAGACAAAGTCATTTTGCATACAATCTTATGGGAAGATTATTTGTTGAAAATAATAGTATGGGGACAGGGTTCCTTTCATGTGCACTGCATTGTAAAGACCTTATCTGGTCCACTACAACCTGAACCTTGACATAAAATTGTTCCATCTGTCTTTCTGTTCACAGAATCTCCCAAAACCTGTTTATGTGTCATATATTGCAATATCCATGACTACCAGCATCTTAGCTATTGGAGGAACTAGCAATATTGCTGTGTGGTTGTAACTTCATTTACACCAGAAGCCACTTAAAAATGAAAGCTCGTTGAAATGGTCGGAAAGCTTTATTTATAACATGTGAAGCCCTTTTCCGCTCCCCTTCTAATTAGCAGCACAGGGTGGTTGGCCACAGAAAAATATGCTTTTAAGATCAGAAAGAGCTAGTAGAAAAATATGAATTAAAAGGAGCTTTTTTTTTGTGTATGAGAGAAAGGAAAAAATAAATAAATAATACAGAGTAAAAAAAGTGATAGGTTGTTCCATGCAAACACCAGAAGCAACAACATATTCTGTTGTTCTATTTCTACTAATACCAGACAGCTTCAACAGCAAGCTCAACAGAATGCTCATCGAATAAGCAAACATAATTACAATATATCTTTATTTATGTGACAAAGAATACAGACTGCCCTATTAATACATCCTGATCTATTTCTTGGGCGGCCTGTGTTCCAGAAGACAGGTCATGTGGCCACTATTAGCAAATAATTAAAAGCAATGCACAGAAAGAATACAGATCTGTGACTGTACTGAAGTGATTAGAGGCCCTGGCTCTAAGCAGTACAACAACAACAAAAATAATGTATGCATCTTAAGCCTGATTACAATATAAGGTTCCCAAGTGGCTACATACCTCCTGCAGCACATTTATAACTCCATCCCTCACCTCTGCCTCCTCATGTTCTCTGAATGGTTTGTTTGGCCATGGTTTGCTTAAATGCTTGCCTGCACAATATCCTGGCAGAATTTGAACTGCAAAGCATAGCCACCTTACAGCACACTATACACACTATACAAAATAATACCACTGGCGTTCAGTACCCCATATATAGGAAGGGTATTATTTAAAAACCACAAAGTCTCATTTAGTTATCACAGTACTTTACCACCACCTGTTGCTCATGGACAAGCTGAGGTATCAACTATAAAACATTAATGCACATCAATGGCCTTGTAAAGCATGTAAAACCTCTTTATTATAAAAATGGTAAAAGCATTGACAATTATATATTGAAACAAGGTGCATTTTATATAATGTTCAAAGGTCCAATCCATACAGTTTTGGACTTTATTCGAATTGTGGACACTCCATAAATTTAAACAATATAAGGATCCACCAACTGCTACATACCTCCTGCAGCACATACATAACTACCTCATCTCTGCATAAACAGCATAGTCACCATAGCTACAGAGTGCGCCTTGCCTTGGAATGACTCATTTCCGGGGGGGGTACCACTTAATCAGAATTAAACTAACCTCTAAAATAAAACACTTTAAAAATCGATGTTGGCTCATTAGTAACAACTTAACGCTCACCTAACCTCAGTGATAAACTAAGCCTAAATATGGCTCCTTGCCTGAAAAAGGTTCTTGTACTGAAAATTTGGGAAGTTGTCTCTGACATTATTCATGTACTGATACTCTTGTTATGAGTTGGTTTGTTTATGGCATCTGCCTCTGATAATCTCTTGGTTTGAGCTGTGCTTGTCTTATGATGGTTGCTTTTATTCAATTGCCATTGCTAACAATTAACCCTGAACTTTGGCTTCTGCTCTATGTCTGCCACCTGCCCTCATCGCCTGCTGGATTCTTGTTCTGTGCTTGTCTGCCACCTGCCTTAACTTCTTGACTGAATCTGACCACGACTCTGCCTCACGATTTGACACCAGCCAGGCAGTCCTACAGGCAGCCCAAAAACCAACACAGACAATCCTGAAGCCAACACAGACAGTTCTGAAGACAACTATATCCCCACCAAAAGGGAATATGCTGAAGATAAGACAGTGAAGTCTGAACTTTGGTGAAAGCCTTTGGCTGCCAACTGGTGGCACAGAAGATCCACTTTATTGGTGACATAGAAAGTAGATTGTTACATTCTCTGCATCTTCCCTGGAATGACTATGTGTTTTGACACCACAAGTTGATCACATTTTCCATAAGTTCTAGTTTTGCCTTCAACTATTTAACCTGTAAATATATAAATTGCTAAGAGAAAGCCTGTGAAAGTGGATATCCTTTTTACGCCAGCATTAGTCTATTTGAAAAATGAGATACCAAACTCTTTACCTTGAACTGACAATCACATGTCACACTGTCTCCAATTCTTAAACACTCTCCGTCAAATTTACAGGTATTTGTGTCACATAGAAAAAGATCATTTTCTCTGTCATCAAAACCTGAAATGTAAAGAGAAGAAAAGTCAGTAAAAATTAATGAACTGCAATCAACAAAGTTATTAGAAAACTATATATTAGAATAGGTGATTCATCCAATCTTTTATTAGCCAACATTCGTTCTTAACTCTAACTCCATAAAGCCTGGATTATTGCATAAATTAGACACACGCTATGTGTTCACTGCTGAAATAGAAGGAACACAGGCTGGTGCATGAAGTGGGATCAGTTTTTTTAAATGTATTTAATCAATGACATACAAGGACCCTTACATTAAAGCGCAATAATAATAAAGAACAGTGGTGTTTATTTTATTAGTGCCTAATTTGATTGCAAATCGATCACCTCTAAAAGCTTAAACTGCAAGTAAAAAGGGTGCCCCCATTAGACTTGAAATAAGGCAGCATTCTCGATGGGCTTTTCTTTTTTCTATGGACAGTATAAGACATCTGGGTGGGGGATGGGGTGTTTAGAAATATCAGAGTTCAGCTTGAAAGATACAATATTAAACAGAACATACCCGTATACATTAGACTTCAGATCCATTAAGATTTAACTGTATTGATTCTTTCATTACATTCCTCTGTTAGAAACCACATCATCGTATTAAAAATGAAAGAAGAGTCAGCAGACAATAGCAGAGTCCTTAACATATTTATACTGTAGCTGATCTGCCCTTTCTGGGTAGAAGGATAGGTTTTAACCAAATCAAAAATATTACAGATCTGTATACGGAAGGTGCAGTTGTGTGTGAGGTAGTATACAGTACCGCAGAGAGAACACATTGTTCTTATGGAATACAATTTAGGAATATCTTACAAAGCTAATAACCCATAACAAATCTATCACTGCCTTCATAAAGGATACTGTTAGTTCAATACAGACATCAGTAGCTTATTATTGACAAAGACAGTAAAAGGGTACGGTTCTAAAAGCTTAAAAAAGACATGATCACCCAATTATCTTATTAAATAGGTTTCAGCCACAGAGATGATTTACAGGTGCAGTAACTCCAGGGCTCATCCTTCCTTATTTAATTAGCATATTTCACAACTTGGCAGTCAATACAACACCAGTCATGACCTAATGCTGAAATTTAGATAAGGTTACCACAGCTAAATTGATGCGACAAAGCAGTATTTTGTATTTTTGTCCTGAATGTGACCTTTTTTTTTTTGTTGCGTGGGGGTATCATCTGCATAGCCAATTAACTCCCCAGTGACTGTAGCCATCTCATGGCCCACAAATCATGATACATAATTTCCATTCATTCGTTCATTCATTTGTAGTTAAAGAGAGCAAGCAATTTGTCACTGCTAATACTGCAAAACCACTAGTTACTATAAGGATTTATATTTCAACAAATATAACTACATATAATGAAGTTAATGCCAAAATCATATTCAAAAGGCGCAATGTTACTGCTTCAGATTTGTAACCTTAAAAAAAAAAAAAAGAAGCAAGTTTAAACATTGCATGAGACAATATGTTTGTACATATGGAGTGCTGCAGTTTGACATCCCTTGATATTTTTGCAGCCAAAATAAGATCTGACACATGATCAACTAATGTTTCTACTGTTCGCATGCTTTCTTCTGTATGAATATAGATTGGTCTAGGTCCATTTAACAATATGTATACTTTATGAATCATTGATTAGGCTAAACACGAAATGAAAGTTTTCCTTGAAGCATTACCACGTTCAGAAAGAAAACCACACTGAAATAGATAATGTTCTACCAGTCCTGTGCATAAACCACCAATATCTACTTTAGCAAATAAAGCCCTTGTGAACAATTTATCTATAGAATGCCACACATCTTACATTCCAAACATAATACAAAGCAATATTAGTAAACAAGGGGAAAAAAGGCAGAGTTGTGTTTTTCTTACAGGGTGTATTGAAGATTTTGACAGGCAGCTGCAAGTTGGTAGGAACAGGTAATAAAACTTTACAGTCCATATATTTATGTGTGTCAGGGGATCCTTATTTTTTACTACCATGGGAAAACCCTATGCACCTTACACTATATTAGTAAGGTGTGTTGTAACATATAGGAATTGCAGTGAAGAATTGTATGTATATGTATATATACACATAGAGAGAGAGAGTGAGAAAGATAGAGAGAGAGAGAGAGAGAGAGGTTATATCAATAGATATACTATATACATATATTGTATAGATAGATTAGATAAATAGATAGATATATAGACAGATTATACTATATATATATATATATAAATAAATTTTTGTTTCGCTATAAATGGAACATACGTCCATCCTATCATCCATCTAGCTAATTGTAAGCAATCCACTTTTCTGCTCATCAAGTTAACTCAATCTAAGGATCCCAATGGCAGCAATGATGTGCAGTGGTGACAGTACCATAGGAAGCAGAGAAGAAGAGATCATTACATTTCATTTTATCCAAAATGACACAGGCTTAGCAAGCCTGCATATGTGTCAGTGTCTGCAGTGTAAGATCACTTACCAGAACAGTTCCAGCCTGTAGGGGTTTGGCAATCACTTAAGGAGGTAGGAAAAGCTGCAAGTTTCCCTGGTCGAGCTATTATTAGTAAAAGAGACGGTAAGAGCAATGAGCAGAGGCAATCACAAAGTGTCCAGCACGGTCTGTGAGACTCTCCAACCACCATGTCTATAGAGGCAGGGACTCCGAAATGGGAAGAGATGAGCAGGGTCTTAGCATGACGGGATCCCCAGCAACAATCCCTCTCTCCCAGTAAGTGCAATAGAAGAATTCCAGACGGCTGCCTGAGACAGAGCGGAGGAAGCAGGACTGGGAGAGATGGCAGAGCAGCACCGACAGCGCTGGGAGGGGAGACACAGAGAGGGAGAGAGAGAGAGAGGACAGCAGTGAGGGGCGGAGAGATCCGCACTGAGGAGCAGCACACACACTCACACACATATATACAAGAAGAACCTCTTGCCTTTCTATTTGCTGACAAAATCACAAGCAGAGAAAGCAAGGCATCCTTTGTATCATTAACAATATGCAATGTATCAATTGGATCAATAACAATAGGTACTAATATTAGATTTGTAGAGTTCATCAGAAACAGATGTTCCATGAGAAACTAGGCAAGGTGTAAATGAGCTGATCAATGAATTCCTGTGCCCACATAGGGGGTCTGAAGATGAGGGTTCTCTCATCTTGTGCCTGGCATGGAGGTAGACACATTGGCATCAGGATTTGGCCAAGGATTCATATGGTGTAACAGAGATCAGAATTACTCAGAGTTGGTTCCATTGATAGATATTGAGAAACTCCTGGCTGGAGTGCAGTGGTGGCAACTCTGGCCCTCCAGCTGTGCTTTAACTACAAAATCCCAATATGCCCCTGTCTCTGGGAGTCATGCCTGTAACTGTCAGTCTTGCAGTGCCTTGTGGGACTTGTAGTTCCACAACAGCTGGAGGGCCGGAGTTGCCAACCCCTACTGTAGGGTCTCACTGAAAGTCGACTTTAGCCAGTAAGTGGCAGACAGGAGCCTGAGGTAAGGCAAGGTTCGGCAGATTTACAGGAAAATCCATGATTGGGATCCAAAGTTTGCACCACCTCTGGAATGCTCTGACAATGCAAAGCCACCTGGTGAAGGCTGGGACTTTTAGTTCTGTACCTGCCATGTGCTGTTATTTTGGAATAGTGGGAATTGTAGTCCTATACCTGCCATGTGCTGTTATTTTGGAATACTGGGAATTGTCATTCTCTACCTGCCATGTGCTGTTATTTTGGAATACTGGAAATTGTAGTCCTATACCTGCCATGTGCTGTTATTTTGGAATACTGGCAATTGTCATTCTCTACCTGGCATGTGCTGTTATTTTGGAATACTGGGAATTGTAGTTCTATACCTGCCATGTGCTGTTTTTTTGGAATACTGGGAATTGTCGTACTATACCTGCTGTGTTGTTGTATTGAAATACTGGGAATTGTAGTTCTATACCTGGCATGTGCTGTTATTTTGGAATACTGGGAATTGTAGTTCTATACCTGGCATGTGCTGTTATTTTGGAATACTGGGAATTGTCGTACTATACCTGCTGTGTTGTTGTATTGAAATACTGGGAATTGTAGTTCTATACCTGGCATGTGCTGTTATTTTGGAATACTGAGAATTGTAGTTCTATACCTGGCATGTGCTGTTATTTTGGAATACTGAGAATTGTAGTTCTATACCTGCCATGTGCTGTTATTTTGGAATACTGGGAATTGTAGTTCTATACCTGGAATGTGCTGTTATTTTGGAATACTGGGAATTGTAGTTCTATACCTGCTGTGTGTTGTTATATTGGAATACTGTGAATTGTAGTTGTATACCTGCTCTGTGTTGTTATATTGGAATACTAGAGCTTGTAGTTGTATACCTGCTGTGTGCTGCAATCAGAGCGCTGGGGCTTATAGTTGTATTACTTCTGCGAGCTGCTATTTTGAATGCTTGGATTGGTAGTTCTTTACAAGCTTTGTCGCTATTTAAAGTCCTGGCACTAGACAAAAAACACTTGCAGTGGGGCAACCCTGCACTGCCAGAGTTAAATGCATGTTAAGTCTAGGGGTGCAGAGATAAGGAGTAATACATAGCTTACTCCACTCCAGCAAACTCCCCCCATCCATGCAACCAGTCCGCCATAGCCTCCTGTCTATGGTACTCCCACCTTTTTTTTTTTTTAGGCGTTTGGGTTTGGATTTCTTTAAGAAGGATAGAGCAGGGGATCCATATTGAAGGCTATTTGAACTGGGAACACAACATATAGGCATTGTGAATACTGGGATTTCTCCTGACTCAATATAGATAAAATTAATGCTGGTATGCTAGCTTATATCCTATTTATAAACAAGTTTTTTATAAGTCATATTTATGCTGCAATAGTATTGTCTCCCCACTATCAAGATTAGGATTAAAGGTCGGGTGGATATTATCTATTTTGGGTATTTTTACCAGGTAATATCTGGGATTGATATTTTTCTATGTGCTTTTAGGACCGTGTTTCTTCTATTTCTTATATCCTATGCACATGTTGTGATGTTATATGGGAAGTTCCTGTTAGTTTTATCATTTGCATAAGCGGATTTACTAGGTAATATCTGGAACGAATGTCTCTTTACATGTCTACACAATCATTTTTCTGTTTGTACGTGCATATTGAGATGGGATATAGAAGATTTTATGTATGTGTCTTTTATATGCAGATTAAATGGTTAATAGTTGTCCCGCCCCCTTTGGGGGTGAGGAACTAAGGTATTTAAGGTATGTCATTTTGATGTTTCCTTGCTACGACTAAGGCCCAGTGTGGGGGCCGAAACATGTAAGCATTTGTTTGTTTGCTGCTGTTATGCCTTTTAACAAATACAGTACTGGATGGATGGATCCCCTTGCGAGAGCCGTCTTTTTACCTAGTGGTCACTCACCTTATAGATACCAAATACAGGGTTATTAGCCCTACATTGTATGTGATGATGCCAATGGACCACCCACAGCCTGAAGCACCAGGTAGAAGAGGAGAGTTCCACAACTTCAAGGAGCAAGAGGTAAGGTAAGAAATAGCTCCTCTTCCTGTACCCCCTTAACCGGACGAGCATTTAACCCTTGCACTGTGACAGGGCAACACTGCAAGAGTTTTTTTGTCCTGTATCTGGAGTTGAACCTTAAGTGCTGAGACTTGTTGTTCTGTACTTGCTATTTACTGCTATTGGAAATCTGGGACTTTTAGTTCTATACTTACTGTATTCTCCTATTTGAATGCCAGGACTTGTAGTTATATACTTGATATGTGCTGCTATTTGGAACGCTGAGACCTGTAGGTTTATTCTAACAGGATTTTATATGCAGAGCCCTGTATTTTCTGTTTTCTTGCATTGTGAACCAATGAATACCTCATGGTGCAGTAGAAATTGTTGCATCCTGTGATTGCACAGGACATTTTTCTAGTACTTCTCTCTGGGCTCCTAGTTAGTCACAAAGTGGTTGGCAGCAATAGGATGAGCCCATGTGAGATGGCAGATCACAGCGCGCACACTGTGAACACAAAAGAACATTCAGAATACCAAAACTGGATTGTGTTTAGCCTTCAAGAGAAGACTAGAAAATTAGGTCTGGGGTACAGGGAACAACAGCAAGTTATAAGAATGCTAGATAATGCTAGCCAGCAAGAAGGGTTAGACACTGACAATACCCTCGCACTGACAAGAGAAAATGGACCAGAACTCCATATATTCACTAGTAAGAACCAGTGGGTTATATGGCTTGAGAATGAGATGGCCATTCTGGAGAAGGATGCTATGACAGAGAGGAATATTGTAGTGATTGAAAAGTAGGAGTTGGAAGCTGCAAGGTACAGCGCATTTTGTCCTGAAGAGAGACTTCCCAAAAAGGTCTTTAAACCCTTCAACAAAAGTATGGGGGGTGTTGATGGGTTCTTTTGAGCATCATTGTGAAATGTTGGCGGTTCCTCACATTGGAACTGCCATTTAGTGGGACTGCTGGAAGGAGAAGCTGCAAAGGCCAATTGAATGATGGGTTTACTACAAAAGAAAATACAAAGCTATTAAACCAGTAACCTTAGACTTTGGAGGCATACGGGACTTAGATCTGGAATGTATCCTGCAACTCTGAAGGTTCTTTTTAAAAGTTTGCACAAAAGATGGCCCAAGCAAACCAACAATGGCTGATGGGAGGAGGTGTGTTCACTGCCACAAACAATTCAAATTGTCCTGAATTCTTTACCAAATGTCCTACATTTGCTTGCTTGGACGGGCTCTCCCTTGCTGCTCACTGAAGGCTCTTCCCTCCAGCTCCACGATCCCCATCAGAGGTTTCTTCCAGCCTTCCAAACACCAACGTAAGTGCCATTACCATCTTTATTCTTGTGATCATACACACACACACACACAGGTCATTGCGCCCTTTTATGTTTTTTAGTTGCTACACAAGCAAGAAGCTAACTCAAAGTAGAATTAAACCTTCATGTTTGCATATATCTACTGCTAGAAAGCAGTAGATATGTGCAAAAACATTTTTTTTTTTTAAAGTTACCAAATAGGTAAAAACTTACTTGTGTCTCCGTGGCTCGCTCCAGTCTGAGTATCTGAAGATTCTCGAGTGGCTGTGAAGGATCATGGGGCGGTCACATGCGCAGTAGTGATCTTCAGCCAGGAGAAGAGGAGAGACACAGTTTAAGTCAATGCACGCAGCCGGCAGCGTGCACGTGGACAGATACCGTGGGACAAAGAAGTCAGCGTGGATCAGAGACCAGCACCAGCGCTGGAGGGACTCCTGAAAACTACTTGAAAGAAGAAGGTGATCGGATCAAGAGGCATCATTTATGGAGAGGTCCTTAAAGCAGCACTTTAATGGACAAAGCATTTACCTTCCAACTTCATGGAGTGGTTGGTGTTAGAGATACCAACAAGTGGCAGTATCAACACATCCTCATCCAAATGTATCCTGCATCATTCCACTGGTATGTACAGTGTACATCTTGCCAACTAACTACCCCTCTTCCCACTCACCTACACTTTGAGCCTGAAGCCAAGCCCTGTAGACACTATGGCCACTTACAAACTAGCTGTCTGGCTGCTATGTGTTAAAACTGATATAGCCTGAAGATTACCGACATGAAGTCCTACCGGGCAGAATAATTTTTTTTTACACACGAGAAATATTGCATTATTGACCTCAACATAGCACCCAGGACACACTCCCAGGAGTGC